CTCGTGTGTACTCATCTTGTCAACAGTGAAAAAAGACGGAAACTTGCATGTTGATGCAACATCAACAACGATAACAAAGTGTTATCAGCTACATAAATTCTATTCTTCAATTATGTTTATTATGGGCTATCTCTTCCAAAATGTTAACAAATTGACTGTTAAATTAATAACAAGTGTATAATAGAGAGGAGAAAACACAACAAAGGAAGGGGCTGTGGAGTGTGGAATAGATTTCATAACATACAAAAGACGCACTTGAACCTTAAGGAGTTTGTAAAAACATAAACCACACAACCATTACAAATACAACAAGGAAACAATCAACAAAAGTATTTTCTATAAAACATTGCTTGCTGTTTTTATAGTCACAAGCAATAAACTCCACCTACAGAGCTGAAAGAACCATATTTTGCATCAGCATCTTCTTCATAACTCCTTCGAGAAATAAATATATCGTGCATGATTATCAGAATAGGGTGCACGAGAAAGCATCTCAATATCAAAGTCAATCTTCACCTCCCTACAACAACCACATGAAAATCAAATTCAGAATATTAGGATAACATCGTTTAGACCCTATTATGTACCAAAGAAAATAATCCCAGTTGATCAGTGTACATTGCAATGTCATGAAATAAAACGAAGCCAACCTGCTAAAGTAGCTAAAGTAGTGATGAATCTTGTCAGTGAAATGCGTCCCATAGAAAGTCCATCGATTCACAATCTGCAGTAAAGATAATTTTTCTTATCCATTAGAATTATCCTCCAATTTTCATCTATATTATCATAATATGAAAAAGTATCTCAACCATGCTTGATTACATGGATCAGCCTTCAGTTTTGAACTTTAAAATAAACTCCCTTATGCGACTAATAAGAAGGTATGTCATGCATCTTAACGCTCATCTAAATTCGAAACAGATGCCATCAATTGTTCCCTGATCATATTGATTGAGATGGGTTAATATATTTACAGAGTAAGGCATTTTGGTATCAAAATCATCCTGTACCATAGATGGCAGTTAGTTCAAAAAATCCCCTGAAGTTGCAAAATAAATATAAGTTGGAGGCTCATATTGTATGGAGAAAGACACAGCCACACATTGTGATATGATATGACACACTGACAGTCTGACACATGGAAACTTCTGGAAGGAAAAAACACAACAAACATGGCAAGTTGAGTAAGTCCAATATAGTGCACAGAAGACACTTCATTATATGCTAGATGTTTCTATACTTTCTACTTATGTTTAGAACTTCAAATGGATGTTGCACAATCACATAAATACTTCGAACTCTGGAAAGGACATAAATTTTATCTAGGTTATTGATAATGGAGCTGAATCTTTTCATATTTAGAACTTCAAATTGATGTAGTCCAATCACATAAATATTTCTTTTTGATAACTGAAACTTGAGGATTGTGTAGCATATCGATTTTCGCTAAAAGGTCAATTTGGTCCCTGTACTAGGGCCTCATACTCAAATTGGTCTCCCTCACTTTCTTTTTTCTCAACTTATTCAACTTAGTCCTATACACCTTGTTAAATGTAAAGTTAGTCCTATTTTAACTCTTCACTAAAAAGTCCGTTAAATAAAACTTGGAAGGACAATATTACCCTAACCCTGAAACTTACATATCAATAAATCATATTTCTCTTAATTTTATTTTTGGTCCCTTAATAACCGGAAAGAGCACATTTTGGTTCCTAAACTAAACTAGAGAACACAACACTAAATAATCTTCCTTCCTAAATTTTATATGTCATTTTATTAAAACCTAATCAGGTGTCCTCAAGGTCACTTATCTAAGGTAAGTAAGCTATGGAGAAATACTATATCACAAAGCTTTTTTATGCGAACTTCCGTGTTTTATATTAGAAATTTGCAAACTATGCATCTCCTATGAGAGTGATCAGATATCCTGCCAGTTCTATTAGTACTCTCAGCTACATCAATTCACATTTTAGGCACCATAAATAACAATTTGGGCAAAGTCTAAACTACACCAAGGAGACTCAAATATATTTTAAATAAATACTTCATGTGCCTTGATTGGAAATTGAAACTCGGTACCTTGTTCTTCTAAAAGCAGCCAACTGCATTTTTCATGAAAATTTCATTTAAAAGATGGATTCCTCTTCTTCACTTAACTCTTCACAGAAAAATTTGAAACTTCGCGATTGCTATAGATGAGATCAAAACCCTCTGCTTCTGTTTATTTGAAGTAACATGAATTATCCCAACTGTATATTTCAACGAAGCTTACTCCATTAACATTTAAGCATTATTGTTCAATGCACCATTCCGCATTTGTATGCAATTATGCATACTGGACCACTGGTTGATTTCTATAGGCGTATAAAACTGCTTATAGGTCCCTTAACACAGCTCGGCACGGTGATTCAACAAACCAACGAACCATCGGGCGATATATCCAAGTATGATCATTAGACCACAACACCAAAGCCAAGTGACACGCGACGAAGCGGATTAACGAGGCGACAAGGTTAACGAACCGCACACAAACAACGGAATACATCCAATCGCGTGCGCAATCAAGCTAACGGGTCGATGAATCAACGAGTCATCCAACCGTAGAGTCCACCACATCAAACAAGACCGGGAGCGGACTCGAACTCGAACACCAAAGCGGATTTACTGCCAAATCAGGATCCAGATTGCCAAATCAGAGTTCAGATCAACATTAAAGACCGGATAAACCACAAAATCGAAACGGACGAAACGGCAAACACCTGGAGGGCTCGGCCAAAACCGAGCCACTCCATTCCAGATCTGGTTCTTAGCGATCATCCACGCCAAATAAGGTAGGAGTTCAGAGAGATCAGATCTGAGATCCACAACGGTTATCCTCCGGATCAAAACTTGATTTTTGATCCCGAGAAGAGTATCGATTTCGCTTGGTCGATTTCGATTACTAAAGGCTATTATTTCCTTGGTGAAATAGTACCCCCGGCTGTTATTTTCTTCGTGAAATAACACCCGTTATACCGTGTAGATCAGACCGGATCAAGATCGTGCGGTGGTCCACGGATTAACCCGGCGCAGGCGAAGAACCCACACAAGCAAGAGACCGTAAAACAGGATCTTGCGATTTGTTCGAGAAAAGGAAAGTTGTAATTTTTCTTTTTTCTTTGATTTTGTTGTAACCGGATCTTATAAAAAGACCGGATCTTTTGTAACCGAAAAACAGTTGCTTAAGGAACAATGACTTCAATGAAAACGACTTTCACCGCGAACAATTTCACATTTCCATTGGTGAGGATATTTTAGCAATTCTTGCTGATCAACCTTTCTGTTTTCCAGCCACTTTCACATTCATTGTCGAAGTATTTTCAGGTTTAATATTATAAACAACTCATTATCAGCTGCAAAAAAAAAAAAACAACAACAACTGAATCTTGTGTAACACAGTCTTCGTGTGAACATCAGTATAATAATGTGAAAAAAACCACAGTTACTAGCATAAAAAAATTAAAAGTACAGGGATTACTATTGCATGTTGATGACTTGAGGGAAATATGGGCATACATGAAAAATTAACAGCCAATATTTAACGGATGTTAAAAAAGGACTTAATTTGTAAATGAGGTGCGGTTTGAGGTCTAAGTTGAGGAAAAATAGAGTAGGGAGACCAATTGGAGTACGATACCCGAATACAGGGACCAAATCGACATTTTAGCCTATTGATTTTCTTTTTCTTTGTTCTTTTTGAAATATAATTAAGTGCCTAATTCAGAGGTAACATATATTTCACTTCATCCTGAAGGATCGCCTTGAGTTATTTTAAAAGAGTTTGGGCAGCACTCAAGTAAGTTTTATTCTACTGATCAGTGAAACCATTTAAGTATTTCCAGCATATGAAACATTGAGACAGATATAGGACATAAATTCTACACAATGACAAAGCAACAAGGAAAATCCTTGTGGAATAGGATATAGGCACACCACAATAAATATATATGTCTATTGAAAACATACTTATACATAAAACACTTTCAGGTTCATAATGATCATGACATATTTCGTTTGAGCAAGCAGCAGCAGCAACAACAACAAAAAGAAAAAGAAAAAGAAAGGAATACCATCTATGATTTAAACTAATAGCTACCAGTAATTAAATAAAAAAAGGAAAAAGAAAAAAAAATTGAAGTCCAATCCAATAACATAATACAACTTCGAAGAAATCCTCTACATGTTTGCAGGAGTTCAGTCATTGCTACCATAGCATCCTTATGCCGAAAGTTCTTTATATGTTTATTTAAGTGGCATATGCCTCTAGTGTTGAACAAGCATGTATTTTAATTGTTTCTATAAGCAAACACGTGAGATTGGACTCAATTTTAAGAGATCATGATCCACAAGTTTTCAGATTACTTGATAAAACAATAGTATTTTTATTAGAATGACACAATATTTTAAATCAACATCCTTGTTTATTCATTGTCTCTTGATTGTCTTGCATAAACGTAGAACCTGTTATCATGATCATGACTAGCTTATGGATTAAACTAGCAGAAACAAATTCAAGATAAACCTCAAGTTTGAGCTGACAAGCATAGACTTGCATAAACCTGCTTTCTTGTCATTAAAATTCCGAAACAAAAGGCATGATGACAATATTGTCAGATAAGCATAAAATTTAGTGTATAAGGTGTCATTTTCTCTCGATGAACATATAAACTGCAAAGTCTACAACTCAAATAAAGATTCTCTACTCTTAGGACCAATTTGGAAAAGAAAAATTGATGTTACAAGTTTAATTAGTTACCTTAGGGGAGCGGCCAATAAAATCCACAAGTAACCATCACCCACTATACCCTGCTGCTCTGCACTCTTAAAACTCTCATCTATATCTTAACAACCACGTTCTGCATAGAAGTCTTCTTCACGACACCTCTAGAACACAACACACTAAGCAACTCCAACGCCTCCTTTGACATACCCTCATAAGCCAACCCCTCAATGAGAATAGTGTAGGTTGACTCCGTAGGCATACACCCTTTGGTCACCATATAAGCAAAGAAATCGATAGCCCGATCCGTCCTCCTAGCCTTACAAAGGCCCAATATAATCGAGTTATAAGTTATTGCATTCGGTCTAATCCCCAACCTCTGCAACTCATTAAAAACCCTAATCGCCTCATCGATCTTTCCTTCCCTACTAAACCCACCAACGATTGAAGAATATGTGATTATATCGGGCCTCAACCCTTTCTCCATCATCTCCTTCAACAGCTCTAACGCCATTTCCGTATCCCCTGCCCTTGACAACCCATCAATCACCGTATTATAGGTTATAAGCACCGGAGTGCAGCCCTTGCTCCCAAGCTGACGAAGCATCTCAACCGCAACATCCACTCTCCCATCCCTACAAAGAGCCGTGAGCAAAGTATTATACGTCACAATATCAGGGTAACACCCTCTCGACGCCATTATATCCAAATACTCGACTGCCCTCTTCATTTTCCCTTCTTTGCAAAACCCATGAAGTATTGGGTTATAGCTCAAAGAATTAGGCGCACACCCATGATCGTTCATCCTCTCCAAAACATCAATAGCTCTCCCCAAAAGCCCCTTCCTACACAAGAAATTGATCAAGATATTGAAAGTAACCACGCTCGGCGCGCATCCTTTGCCCACCATATCCTCCAAAAGCCTCTCAGCATCCATCCACCTCCCCGTGCTGCACATACTCCTCAAGATTATATTATGCGTGATCACGTTCGGGTTACAATCATAAACCCTCGCCATGGAATTCAAGAACTCAATCGCCTCGTCAATCTTCCCTTCCTTACACATCCCGTTAACAATCACATTGTAGGTAACCACATCCGGCGCGCACCCTTTTTGCCGCATCTCATCGAGCAACTTCATCGCTTCGGCTACGCCGTTGGACTTGCACATCGATTCGATTAGAATGGTGTACGTGAAGACATCGGGGGTGATGTTCCGCCGGAGCATTTCGTCGAGCAGGTTGAGGGAGTGACCGATCTCGGATTTCTGGGAGAGGGATTGGAGGAGGGTGTTGAACGTGACGGCGTCGGGGGGGAGGGGGTGCATGGAAGCGAGAGGCGAGGGCGGAGTCGGCGTCGCCGGACTTTGGCAGTAGGCCGGAGATAAGGACGTTGAGGTGACTGACGTCAGGGGGGATGTTGAGGGCGACATCTGGGTCGAAGACGCGCGTGGCGTCGGAAGAGGCGGCGGAGGGCGGCGATGCCGCGGAATGAGCGAGGGCAGGGGAGGAGGAGGGAGGGGGAGGGAGGGGCGGAGGAGGGGAGGGAGAGGAGGAGGCGAGCGGCGGTGTCGAGGTCGCCGGAGCGACTAGGCGGTGGAGGCGCTCGGAGGCGGCGGTTGACGGCGGCGGCATTTGAGGAAGGCGGAGCCTTACTTTTGGGTGGGCTTGATTTTGGGGGTAATGGTATTTGGAGGATTAGGTGTGAGTGAGTTGGGATAAAAGTTCATTTTTTAGGCGGGTTTTTCTCGTTTTTTGGAGAAGAGGAGGATTTAGTTCGTGGAGGTTTTAGGAGGAACAAGGGGAGGGTGTGGATTGTTGTACGGGGTTTTGTGGTTGGAATGGGTTTGGGCCTGGTTGGTTAGGCCTTTGAAAGCCCAAAAATTGAAAAGTCCCACCCGACACTCATAGAAATTGATCACATTTCTTAAAAACTATTCATATTTATTTGTTTGGGTGGACTGGGAAAGAATTATTTATCTTTCCTTCTTCGTCGTTTTTCGTCACGATTTGGGGAAACCCAAATCTGAGCTATTAGATGGGAATTGGAAGGAAATATATTATTTTAGGGTTAAAAATAAGAGGGAGGGGAAGGGGGAGGTGATGGTTTCCTTTTTTTTTTTTTTGTTATCAACCAAACAGTGGAATTAGCACATTATATATTTCTGTTCAAGTTTTCTGAGTGAAGCAAATAAAAAATACTAATTTCCAAGAAATACATAGAAACACATGGAAAGTCAGTTCTGAGCCTAAAATTGATTTTTTGCTATTTATAGAATATAACAAATCAGGCCCTTTATCTACTGAGGTGACCAGAGAATAAGAAATATGTTCATTGTAAATTTTAAATCAATATAATTATTATGTAATTATTTTTAATTAATTAAAATTAAAATATTAATCAATGCACATTGTTGTTATACCAGTACACAAATACTGTTGTAGTCATTATGTTTCTTTCATGTATGACTTTTTGTTTTCTTTAGTAGAGGACCCTCTGTTGTCTATAGTAGCATCTTCCGATTATTTGTATCATTGTTTGGGTTTTGTTTTTAACTTGTAGAGCCAAATACAAATCTGATAGAACATTCTGCATGTGAGCGAGATGCTCTTTAACTTTCGGGGCGGGGTGGTGGTGGTGGTAGGGAGACAGTTTAGATACGTCAACTGTCCTCTCAAATTCACTTAGGGCCCGTTTGGATAATGAAAGTATTAGAAGTAAAAAGTAGATTATAGAAGTAACTTTCAAAACTATGAAGTAGGAAGTAGTGGACATAACACTTTTTTTATTTGTTTCGTATATTTTTAGAAGTAATGGAAGTAGAACTTCTTCCTATTCATTTATTTTTTTTGTTTGAATAACATTTGGAAATATTACTAGGAAGTAATTTTATAAATAAAAAGTTGTTAGAAGTAACCAATAAAAAAAATATTAATTAAAAAATTATTTATTTCCTAATTAATATGCATTTCAACTACTTCCGAGCTACTTCTGAGTATTAAGGATTTATTTATTTCCTAATTAATATGCATTTCAACTACTTCCGAGCTACTTCTGAGTATTAAGGATTGAAAAACTATTTTGGAAGTAAGGATGACACGTAGCAACTACTTCCGAGCTACTTCTGAGTATTAAGGATTGAAAAACTATTTTGGAAGTAAGGATGACACGTAGGCGCCATATAGGCGTTTAAGGAAGTAATGAAAGTAAGTTTTTCATTTACTTCTTTTACTTCAGCTACTTCATAATTACTTTTGTGGAAACAAACGGGCCCACGTGAAGTGTTTTGAAATGATTTTATTCGGTTGGAGCATAAAATCTTGAAACTACAAGTTATAAAACAAGGCGACGAAGAGTATGAAGACCATGGTTTTGGCTATTGTACAAAGTTTACCGGTTCCTGATAAATATAGGAACTGGATCAACTCCTTATATAGGGCTTGCTCAAGTTTAATTAATTTATAAAATTTCTTGCTAACGCCTAAATTTTGTGAGAGTTTACCCAGGAATGCCTGGGTTCCAAGGGAGCATGTTAAAACTGCTCATTTGGGGAATGGAAAATTAACTTTAAAAAAAGTAATCAAATTACTTTGTTACAATGATTTCAAAGGAATCTGAATAAATATACAAACTGAAAAGTTCTTGTATGTTATGTCTTAAAGTATATGATATTTTGAAATTTACTCGAAAAACAACCCAGCAGAATCTATAGATTGATTGATACCAGCCACCTCAACTCGAGAACATTCCATCCGCTTGCTTCGTTTCACAACGTTCAGAGCTAATTAACTCCCTTGGCAGCACCTTCATGCCCAAAGTTTTGAATTTTTCATCACAATTTATTTTAATAGGAAAATACTAGGAATCGAGTCCAGGCTCTTCAGGCCTCGTTTGGCAAAGGGTTAAGAAAGATGGGTTAAAAAGAAGAATTAATGTACTTAGCTCATTCGATAATCTGAAGGACTAAATTATTAACCCATTAAATAAGTTTTATTTTAGCCATTGTGATCAGTTTTAGTGTTTGGGAATAACAATGATTTTGACTATTTTATTTATAATTAGAAAGGTTAACTCTTAATCCTTTGAAATAGGAGTATTAGTAAACCCCTCATTTTGAGGGGTTAACCCATTTTAATCGCTCTAGAGGGGTTAGCTTAACCGTTCTATATTTTTTATGTTTGGCAAATTATGGAGGGTTAACTCACATTAACCATTTTATAGATTTTTTATGTCAAATTTGGTGAGAGAAAACACTTGCTTTTTTATCTTTCAGCCCAGAAAGTAGAAAAGTATGAATCCACTAGTTTTGCATCAGGAAATCCAATGCCAAAGCGAGGGTCAATAAAGACAAATATATGTATATATAATATATAGTTACATAATAATTTGTAAGTATATACTAATACATAATTATATAAACAATAATAATGTTAAACTAATTTTTAGCATTTTTTTATCAAAAGAAAAGAAAAGAAAAGAAATTAAAAAAAAAACCTAGTTGGGATGTACTTATCTATTGTGATGCGATGAATTTTAAAATAAATTTATACTTGTAATTTGTAAATAATTTATTAATTATTAATAAAGAATTTATTTTTATAATTGCTACGCATCAGAAGTTGAAAACTTGGGAAAGGTGAAGCCATTATTGAGCAACTTTTCTACTTTAATCAATCATCTGATATATATCGCCTCGCCTTCGCATCTCTAGAGGAAGGTTTTCTCTACAGATTGCATAGTACGTAGTAAAGAGAAGAAGTTCTCTGATTATGTCAAAAGCGTAAATTATAAAAAAATCCTCCTAAGATTTATAGCATTCACAAAACTTCCATGCATTTAAAAGTGACACTTTGAATCCTATTCAGTGTTTATGAAGTTAACCTGAATGTAAAGACAATGAGGATAAGATAGGATAATTATTGGTGCTCCTGTATAAACATGTAAATGTATATTTTTGATACTGATCCCTAAAATCTTCGATAATTCCATAGTAGTCCCTCATATCTTTGAAACTGCTCACAAGTCCCTCAAGTCCTAAGAGGCCTTCCGAATTGGCCCCTCAATGACCAAAATGCTCCTCATCTTATATTGTTGTGAACTTCTTTTTGGTTTTTATTGTTGTGATCCAATTTGTAACACCCCTTAAGATTTTAGAGACGTGTGAGATTTGAGGGACTCAAATGAATTATTGAAGATTTGAGGGACTAATATCTGAAAACCCCTAAAAATTATGATTATTTAAATGATGAAAACGTATTTCCTTTTAAACCTAATAAGGTTTTTCCGTGATGGAATTTGGATTTTCAAGAGAAGGACAGCTTCACATCCATATACTAGAGAGTACAGGGTCGCTCCGGTAGGCGTGCGGACTATGGTATAATAAGCACATAGAGTTTCGTCTACTTTATCATCCCAGTCTCATTTGTTGGTTCTCACGAACTTTGATAAAATCTTTATGATGGTCTTGTTGAAAGCTTCAGCCAATCCGTTCGCAGTGGGATAATAGGCCATCGACGAGACATCTTGAATTCTGAATTTTTCACAGAATTTAACAAACGCGTTGCTGACAAACTGGGGACCATTGTCATGCACGATTCATCTTGGAACACCGTATCGATAAATAATATGGTATTTGATGAATTTGACAACGTCGCTTGTCCTTACTTCTTTGAGTGGAATTGTTTCGGCCCACTTGGAGAAGTAGTCAGTGATTGTCAGAATGAAACGGTCACCTTTGGCTGACGGTGGAAAAATAGGACCGACAATGTCTATTCCCCATGTCTCGAATGACCATTATATGACCGAAGGGTGCAAGTACTCTGGGGGTTGTTGCATGTAATTGATATGCATTTGACATGCATGGCACTGCCGGGCGTACTCAACTGCGTCCTTGACCATAGTTGGCCAATAATATCTCATTCTTTTGACACGATCACAGAGTTTGGGACCAGGCTGGTACGCACCATAGATTCCGTCATGGGCTTCTTTGAGAGCCTCTTCCCCCTCTTTGGTTGAAAGGCATTGGAGTAGCAAATCTTTGTATGCATGACGATACAATGTCTGGGTCACCGTATTATAATAGAATCTTGGTGCTCTTCGCCAGACCGAGTCTCTTTTTTTTATGTCTTCCGGTAAAATATCATGCAAGACATAATTAACAATGGGGAAATACCAGTCTCGAGGTTCGAGTTTGATTCTCATTGTGTGCGCCTCTGTGATGTCCAGGGTACAGTCTGGTATGAAGAGTTAGTGAGTTCTCACAGTAACCAACTATTTTATTTTGGGAGGTTGTGCCAGAGATACTGCTAACGCCGCCAATGCATCTGTGTAGGCATTTTACAGACACGAGATGTATTCGATGAAGAACTCTTCAAATGAGTTTGCCATCTCGATGGCTGCCTGGTGGTACGGGATCAAGTCTTGGTTCCTGTTTGTTGGAAATTTGTAGTAAAAAGACAATGAAAGAAAATTTGACTTGTATTCCTCTCAAAATCAATTACAATTTGGATTCCGATTACAAAAGAGAGGAGAATGAATTTGATTCTCCCCTTTGTTTAATTCTGGGTTCTTCACGGTGGCGATGAGATGCCTCCCTCGAATGCTCGCGTCGAGTTTGCTTCTCGTTGACGATCCGAACGTCTTGATTCACTGGAACGATGTCTTCTC